GACTTCCCTGGTGGGGAAGTGGTTAAGAATCTGCCTGTCAATGCAGGGGATACAGGTTTGATCCCTAGTCTGGGAAGATCCCACATGACGTGGAGCAACTAAGCCCATGTGCCACAACTACTGAGCCTGTGCCCTAGAGCCCGGGAGCCACAACTACTGAAGCCCGTGTGCCACAACTACTGAAGCCTGCGCGCCTAGAGCCCAAGCTCTGCAACAAGAGAAGCCACCGCAATGGGAAGCCCGCGCACCACAACGAAGAGTAGCCCCCGCACCACAATGAAGAGTATCCCTGCTCGCTGCAACTAGAGAAAGATCGAGTGCAGCAACGAAGACCCAATGCAGCCAAAAATAAATAAATAAAATAAATTTATTAAAAAAATTATGCAATCATAGGCAGTTTATTTAGCCACTCCATGCTTCCAAGAGGTTGTATGGCTGTAATCCAGTACTGTGAGGATTAAATGGGATAATGAACAGAATGTATACAAAGTGCTTAACACACAGTAAGCACTCCATAAATGGTAGCTATCTTATTATTGTTAAATGAAATGTGCGGGTAAATCTCAAAGCAGTAAGTTTAAGAAATGAATTGCTGAACTGCTATCAAGGATATGAAAGAATGAGAATGATATACTAGGGCAACTAAATTAATGAAGCAGATAGGGAACAGCAAATCTTTTGCTTGACTCTTCTGCCTTCTCTAACCTCTTTCTTATTTCTCTCTTTTCCTTTTACTGCCAAACATACAAAGGGTGATCTACATGCTGTCTCCATTTCTTACCCACATCTCATGACCCCATTCTCTTTAATCTGGCATTTAATATCCCTATGGCCATCCGGAATTGAAGCTATTATTTTCAAAAAGTCACCAATGATCCCTGTTGGGATATAATGGACATTTCCCAACTTTTTCTGTAACATTGCATATTGCTGACCAATCCCTCCAGCTCGAAACCCTCTCGTTGCTTCACTTCTGCGATACTATACCCTCATGGCTAAGAGCATGTCTAATAGGCCTTGCATCTTTCAGGTACATAAATAAATGATCGTGAAGAGAATGCTTTTGTTGGGTGAATAAATGAGGTGGCTCTTCTGCTTCTCTGATATTCCTTACTTTTCACCATACTGACCCCATTTCTTCTTCCTACCTCCCTGCATGTGGGCAATCTCCACTTTCCAGCCTTGGTCCTCTACACCTCTATTTCTATGCTGTTATACCGCTAACAACTAAGTGGGAACTAAGCTAATCTCATGGCTTCAATTATCATCTACGTATAAGACTCCCTGACTTCTCTCTTTTGAACACTACGCCCCCCCACCAGTTCCAAATATTCTGGGGATCCATCCACTTATAAATTCCAGTATCACCTCCAGAGATCTAGCACTTGGCTTTTCCTCTTCTCTCCCGAACTGGCTTTTATTTTCTTTTATTTTATATATATATTTTTTGGCTTTCCTTTCTGTCTGTCCTATTTCTGTTGACCTTGTCACGTATGTTCAAGGCTATATTTGATTCTTCCTTATTTCTTGTTCTCCATATCTATCAGTCAGAGTCCTTTCATGTTTCCTTTGTAATACTCATTGAACCTATCTCTTTCTATTTTCACTGCCATCTCCCGAATTCAACCCCTTAACCCCCTCATATCTAAACTATTCAAATAACCTGCTAATTGGTTGTACAGTTCTCTTTCTACCCCTACTAAAGTTTATTCTCCACATTGTTGTTGAGAATCTTCATAAAATACTACTTTTATAAGCACACACTTCCCTAACCAAACATCTTCAGACTTTCCATCATACGGGATAAAGTTCTAACTCCTTAGTTCAGCATTAATGCCTGTTAAAATCTGGCTTCAAGCAACCCTTCCAATCTTACAACTTCTTTAGTTAAACCTTCTGATCTTGCCACATTGGTCAGTTTTATCAACTGACCCCTGAAAACTTTCTTCCATATTCCGGTCCTGTGTTTTATGAACACTTTTTTCCCCATCTAGAAACCCCTCCCACTTTCCTTCTCTATATAACAAAATCCACCATGTCTCTGAAAAAAGCCTTCCTTGATAATCATAGTCCGTAACGATCTTTCTCTTTTTTCAACTCCTATAATATCATACCTTTAGCACTTTGAAAATTTACAGAAGAATTGCTTTATGCTGAATCCTCACAAGTATACGAGGTAGGTGGCATTATTACAGATGAAGAAACAAAGTCAAATAACATGTCCAAGTCACACAGCAAGTAACTGATAGAACTGGGATCTGAATCCTTGTTTAGCTGAGAATAATCCCCGGACTACACTACCTCTCTCATTTTCCTATCTCTTCCAAAGCACAAATACAGCACAGTATTTACACACAAGCAGGTGCTCAGTAAACATGCTGATTGAGAAGACTGCTTAAATAGCACCCGTGATTCTCCAGCACTTAGGAATTGTCAATCTCAGCAGACCACATCAGGCATATCCCCCCAGTGTCACGTTCTTTATGAGGCTTGATCTGTAATTGAGTTCAAGATGGGATATTTGCCAAAAATTCACCATGATCCATTCTAAAAATAAATTTTGGTTTAAGCAAAGCCAAAAGGCTGTTATCTGAATCAAACATTAGGTGAGTTTTGGGGATGAGGTCTACTTTACCACCTCTGGGCCCATCCTTGCTCTGTTTCCAAATGGTCAGGAAGTAAAAATAGGCTGGCTAAATTGATGGCTTATGAGGTAAAATGGACTATTTATAGTTCTAGAAGTGGAGGCTAAGGCAGCAGAACAGGATTTTCTTTGCTCTGGTAGCTAACACCTCAGTAAAAGAAGCCTAGTAAAAGTGAATCATGAGTGGAAACTGGATCAAAAGACGATAATAGTAAGGAGGGAAAGA